TCTCTCTCACACTCGTTGTGTGTTTTACTTGGTTTCTTATAGGCAAAGGTACAAGGTGAGGTTGAGACTCTAATGATAAAGCTCAGAATGCAACCTCACTAGTTGCAGTCTTCCACTTCTCCCTATGTTCCCCCACCATCTCCACGAAACTGTTAAGCAAAATTCTGTAATCCTACAATGAAATCCCTACCTCGGTGCTCAGGCCATCTCACCATGTTCTTTTTTATTAATCTTTCGTCATTGTTCCTGGATGGCAACAATCCAATGCCTTTTTCAGGATAATGAAATCACAGTCTGTGATGAGATTTGTTCTCCCTCACTCTTTTCTTTCTCCTTGCACCACTTCCACAAAACTCCCATTTTCACCACATAATTACAACTAGCAAAGTGACAGGAACAGTGGTACAGTGCTGCACTTATCCTACATTGAGGCTGCCAGCCATTGTTCACAGTTTGGTACGTGCTCAGTGCAATCAGCTTAATTCCACTGCAGAAAATAACAAGAGCAAATAAAAACTTAAATTTGCCAGAACCCGTTCATTCCAATCTCAATGAGAGTGTTGCTTCTTTCCACTAGACCCAGTGTGTTAAATTCTGCAAGATAGCTCAAAAAGTAGTAAATGGGATCCTTAAATCTAGGATGAATGGATTCACATCAAAAACCTCATAAATATTTTATTCAAATTCCTTTTTATTGATCTTTTTGATAGGACAATGCTCATCAACTAAATATCACAATCAATGAGCCACATTGGAAGTTGAGAATCTCATCTTGCTGAAATATTCTGATTGTCTTTATCATTGACTAAAATATCAGAAACGTGCTTTACAGAAGGAATAGTTGAGAAATCATGGCTAGCATGGATACAAGAATTTGCAATTTGTTACAGACTGCACAGCTGTAAGAATGGGTGATTTGAACTTCACTGTCAGTTTGTATCAAGCTAGTTGCTTGTTTTAGTGCTGCTAGCTGACGCTGACAATGACACACAAACTCCGATTGAGCACATGCAGCACATTTTAAACACTTGTTCTGGGCCAATTGTAGTCTGCACTGAAATGCATGCACTTACTATAACAGAGTTGGGACACCTCAGGCTGTGACTCTGTAAAGCCACAGAGTGGTAATTCTTTAGGAATTTGCAGAAACGGGAGATTCCTGGACCATGATGGGATCCCAGCCAGTACGGGAAAATTGTCATGCTGGGAATTGCTCCCATTATGTAGGTTAACGTGTGTGTATTTATAGTGTAAAATATGAGTGTATATATATTGATTTGGAACCAGCAGCTCAGAAAATCACTGTGCCACAAGGTAGGCGAGACTTATTCAAAAGTGCAGCAGTGATTTCAGTCAGCAGGCTCGAAGAAATGGAACTGGATTCTGTTCGGCTACCTGGAAGGGAAGTGTGACACCTACTAGTCCAGAAATCTGGTGCTGTTGCCCAAGTGCTGCTTCAACCAGTCCAGCACCTTGAACAAATTGATGTGAAAATCTCTGGCATGGTGTGGCAGATTGGAATATTCACACATGTTCACGACTCCCCAGCTTACGACTCCCACCTGGGATGGCAGAAATACCACACTTAAAAAGTGCCTCTCTCAAGACTACTGCAACAGTTCTAAGTGGGAAGGGTAGGCTTCAGGCCTGTGGTGAGACAAAATTTTTAACAGTACCAATTATTGAAAGTGTGGGACGGGGTGAGAATGCAGTTGATAAAATAGATGGCATCCAGGTCTTTATAAATAGAGATGTACAATGCAACAGCAAGGTAGTTGCAGTGAATTGGGAAGATAGTGGTGTGGTGGCAATATACTCTACTAGTAAGCCAGAAGCTGAAAGTTTGGGGACGGGGGTTCAAACCTTATTGGGTCAACCAGTGTAATTTAAATTGAATTAATAGAATTTGGACTTGAAAGCTGCTCTCAGTAACAGTGGAAGTGAAGCTCCTACCAGTTGTTATAAAATCCCATCTGGTTCTTCAACACTCTTTAGGGAACACAATCACTGGCCTGACCTGCAGATCCACAACAATGTGGCTGAGTCTAAACCATTGTTTGAATTGGGCCTGGAAAGTCACTCAGTTCAAGGGGTAATTAGGAATGGGTAACAAATGCTGGCTTTCCAAGTGATGCTCACATTCCATGAAAAACTAAGGGACGGGGTTTAAAACAGATAGTCCATGGAATACTAGTTTGACAGTGATTGGAGTAAAGTCCAGTTTTGGAATGATGTGAAGGTGTGAGAAAAGATTCAGTAGTTACGTAGATGGATTAGAGAAGCTGACACCGAAGGACACAGGCTGGGGTTTGCCAGATCTTTGAATGAGCTTTTCCATTGGCCCACTTCCCTGTTCTTTAACTCACTCATCATTCATGATTTGACCAACCCCTTTTGCAAGTTCAAATGAAATCCACTTCCGACCCCTTTCAGCCAATGAATTAAAGCAACAATTTATTCCTCCTCAAACCTTCTTGCCTAGTCCCTCAAAAATGAGAACTCTTGTGTTCAACCTCTGACCATTAGAAATGCTTACTCCATATGGTGTCCCGCAAAGCCCCCTCATATTTTGGAACATAGATTATGGACTTGATGGACTGACTGGCCTCTGGTTAAACTCCCCTCCATCTTTCCTGCTCTGGGGAGAGCGATCCCAGCTTCTGCAGCTTCTCCATGCCACCTAAATATTTCATATCAGCTACCAATCTGATATGACTTGAAGAGTACTTCAACTCTTGATGGTGAGACTTCAGTGAGATTGATATTGCATGCTACATCTACATTGTTTCAGTATGTACAAACCTGAATATATCGGTATAGTTTCTGAATGTACAAGGGTCCTCCTGAATCTCCTTTTATAAACAAGAAAAGATAAAATAGTTAGTTGCTGTCAATTGTACAATATCTTGTAACCAGTAGCTTCCCTCCCAGTGGTAGCAGGGAGTACACATTGAACTCACCACTGCTGCTTTTGCAACCGATTAATAAAACCTAGTCTATACTAAATAGGTACAGAAGAAAGTACAAAAGCAGGTAAGTTACATTAAACCTGTATAATAAGGTTGACCTCAGCTGGAATATTGTGTACATTTCTGGGCTCCATGCTTTTGTGAAAGATTGAAGGCAGTAGGAAAGTGCAGAAAATAGTCAGTGATTATTTCCAGGGATGAGAACCTTCAATTACACAGACAAAATTGGGGAGAATGTTCTGGCTATGGTGTGGGTGCACTAATGATTTACCAGGCTGATTCTTGAGTTGCAGGACTGAGGTGTGAAGACAGAGTGGGTTGATTAGGATTGTATTCACTGCACTTTATAAGAACAAAGGAGAGAGATCTCATAAAAATCTATAAAATTCTAACTGGACTAGACAGGGTAAGTGCAGGAATGATGTGGCCAATGACTGCAGCGTCCAGAACCAGCAGTCACAGTTTAAGAATATGGAGTAGGCCATTTAGAACTGAGATAAGGAGAGATTTCTTCCACAGAAACTAGTTGAGGCCAAAACATTGAATTTTTTTAAAGTAGTTAGACATAGTTTTTAGGGTAGGGGGACAAAGCAGGAAAAGGAAACGGAGTTGGATGATCAGTTAAGATAGTGTTGAATGGTGGAGAAGGCTTGAACGGCTGAATGGCCTTCTCCATTTGCTATTTCCTAAGTTTTCTGTGCCTTGGGGAAATGAAGGTTGGTAAGGAGACTTGACATTGATGTTCAAAATCTTGAGGGGACTATACAGAATATATGAGGAACAACAGTCCCCACTGGTAGGCTTTAAAACAGAAGCACAGAGAACTGGTAGAGGAAGCAATTCAGACGTAGAATGTGTTGTCAGAATTTGTGGTGGAGGCAGGTTCAGGCAAGAGGGAAACGGATTCTTATCTGAAAAGGCGAATTGTGCAGGGAGAAGGCAGGGCCTGTGTCTGGGTGAATTCCTCTGTGGAAGACTAGAGTACTGGACCACACCAGGACACTTACCTTTACAGCTGATGGCCTCGGGATTCTTTCTACTTCCTCCCGTGCATAGAAAGCGGTCAGTGACTACATCTTTGACATTGCTCACATTGACATATATGGCAGCATTGGTAGCATCCTGCTCGCACAAAGCTCTTTCCTGTAAAATATATTGAAAACTTAATTGAGTATTCACCGATTTAGTTGTGTCATGTATTGACTTGGATTTGGTTGTTAGCCCCTGACTCCTCAAAGGCTGTCTGCCATCTACAACTCAGGAGGGTGCTAGAATACTCTCCACTTGCTTGGATGAGTGCAGCTTGAATAGCAGTCAAGAATCTCTACACCATCCAGGACGAAGCAGTCCACTCAATTAATGCCCCCATCCACTATTTTAAACATTAACTCCCTTCAGCTTGAGCACATTGTGACAGCAGTTATGTGTCCTGCATATAAGACACACAGCAGCAACTTGCAGTACCACCCCAGCACAGGGTGGCATGTGCAAACTTCAACCTGTGCGTTCTTGATCAGAATATGTATCTTTTATTGTCACTGGGTAAGACACTATTGAGATTTCAAAAAAGCAGCAAACTAGCCCCTAAGAACAATAACTCACCGATGCACCAATTTTTATCTTCACGTTTTTCAGTGCATGGTTCCGAATTTTCTGAATAAACTTGGCTTCAACAGTTCCCAAAGTTGGTAGCAGTTCTTTCTCTGTAATAACAACATATCTTTACAAATCCTCATTTGGTATTTTTTTGCACTGTGATTATCAGCAAACATTCTTCAGTCAGCTACATCATGGTAATGTCAGAGGCAGTTCATTGCACCACATGTGTTAGGCCCAAAATGTGCCCAATTGCAAGCCAGGACCCCTCCTTGCCTACTCCCACTGCCTCGCAATTTGCCTTCTTAACTACTTGCTGCACCTACACTCTTAACATTTTGTGTTTCTTGCACAAGAACACCCAGGTCCCTCCCTGTTGCACATTTTTGGACTCTCTCTTCATTTAAATAACATTCAGCCATTTGATTCTTCCAACAATATATGCAATCTCACATTTTTCTACATTAATCTCCATCTGCCAAGTTATTGCCCACTCATTCAAGCTATCTATATCCCCTCACAGTTTCCTTACGTCCTCAACTTAAAGATATCTATTTTTACATTTTCTGTAATTTTGGTTCAGGACTGAAATGGGATAAGAACTGGCTTTTAAAAACCATGGATTGATGAAGCATAACTGTACTTCTTAAAAGCAAAATTTCCAACACTCATTGTGACTGCTGTTTACACAGCTGCTTGTTTGTGTTGAATGCTTTGCTCCAGAACAGCCGAAGACAGGGGACTGTATAAAACTGGAGCTTTGGTCAGCAACAACAGCTGATTGGTCTGTGGACTTGTGATCAGTTATCAATTTCAAAGGTCTCCTGCCTGCCAACAACTATGTGAGTGGGTTCCTAGTATGTGAACAATTTGTGGGTGTGAATGTTTGAGGGAGAAGCTATTGGACCTTCAGAAGGAAAGAAGTTGTTTTTTGCTGTGCAGCAAAAAGCCTCTCGAGCTGGAAGGTAGCCAGTTTATTTATATTCCTCAGTTACTGTGAGCTGTGACTTTTCATTAATAAATCAGAGATCTTTATAAATGTGAACCAGTCACCCTATGTCTCCAGGAAACAAGTGAAAGTATCTGGAGAAGGACGATCATGAAGCAGCCCTCTGATTAGGAAAAAGGATTAACTCTGCAAAGCCTGCAGTTGGGGAGCACAGATCTGCCTTCCCGATCTTTTCTTCCACTTAAACATCTTATTTATTTGTGTGTCTGTCTGTCTGTCTCTGGGTTTGTAGAGGAGGAATTTATAGTGGGTCAGAGTTTTAACTAGCATAGTTATAAGTCCATGGTTCAAAATTGTTCCTCTTTAGTTACAATTTATTTGTTTGCAGGAAATAGTAATTCTTGTTAAGTACAGAAAACTGGTCCATGCTTTCCATCATCCTGGGTCTAAAAGGCAAGTAAATTGAGGTATCTTGCATATTTCCATAAAATCTTTAAATTGTGTGATGACTCTAAGAAAACTGAATATTGATTCCCAGCATGTTATCCCGGTGAGCCATGACATCATCGCAACATGCCCTCCCTCTGTATTTTTATATCAGCAGCAAGTTTAGATACATCAAACTTTTCCCCCTCCTCCAAGTCTTTAATGTAATCTTTAATCATTGAGGCGGCATCCTGTGCCACTCCACTAGTTATGTGCTCTATGTAAAAAAGAGACCTATTGTTTGCAGCTCTGTCTCTTCAGTGTGTTAGCAAATCCCTAATCCATGCTAATACATTACCCCCAATACTGTGCACTCCTGTCTTATACAACAATATTTTATATGGCAACTTATTGAATGCCTTCAGGAAATCTAAACACACTACATCTACTGGCTCCCCTTTATCAACACTGCTTGAGAACTCTTAAAAAATTGTTAAACATGATTTACTTTGAATAAAGCCATCTGTTTGATTGTATTAAGCTTTTCTAAATGCTCTGGTTTTTTTTTAGGAATGGACTCCAGCATTTTCCCAATGATAGATGTTAGGGGAGCCGGATTCCAGTTTCCTGCTTTCTAACGCCATCCTTTTTGAACAGGGCATCACATTAGCAGTTTTCCAATCAGCTGGAACTCTTCCAGAATCTACTGAGTTCTGGAATATTTCAATCATTGCTACCACCAACTTTGCAGCTAATTCTTTTAAAACGCCTGGATGCAGTCCATAAGTTCCTGGTGACCAGTCTTCCTTTGATCACATTAGACAGTCAAATACTTTGTTCTTAGTGATAGAGGCTGTTACAAGATCTTTCCTCCCATTTACACTTTGCCAATCTGGTATCTTTGCAGTGCCTTCCACGGGGATAGGCAACAAATGCTGGCTCAGTAATTGCAAATCAAGTCACCAGGGTCTGAGAGGACTGTAGGGCAGCTCTCTCCAGAGAGAGGTGGTTTAATCTGAGGGTCACAATGCCTCCGGTAAGGGGATAGTTTGAGAAGAAGGCACCTTCGTGGTAACGTCAGCCAGTGGGGGAAATTGGACTTGGGCCAATGGTATCTCTTTGTGTTACAAATCAACCATCCGGCCAACTGACCTAACCAACCTTCTTCCACAATAAGTGCGGCTTAAAGCACTCCCCTTCAACAAGACTGCTACAATTCCTTCCTTGCTGCATTAACCCACTGTCTTCTCATTCTGTTCATTCTGTGACATAAATTTGATTTTTAATTGACTATTAACCCTCAGGTTGGGTGGAACTGAAACATAAAGGAGCCACAGATTACCATGATCAGTGCAGGTTGGTTTGGTCTGAGATATCTTCAAAGCAACGCTGGTGCCCACTGTGCATGGCAGGCAAATCGGTCTGAGGAGAGAAAGGAAGTAAGAGTTAGATACTCCTTAAGGAAGGGTCGAAGGAATCTACAGGATGGAAGTTACATTTATAGAAACATTCAAATTCCAATCAGGAAAATATCTTACAGCCATGATTACTCCTGAAATCTGATCAAACTCCATATATATTGAGATTTATTTGGTGTAATATTAAGATGAACAAAACCTTTATATATGCGTTTTTATAACCAGCCAACCCCTGCATCACTGCAATTATAACGTCGTCCCTGTATGCAATGGTTCCCACTGAGACTGTTACTGTCTTTGGGAGATTGTCCCTATGGTGCAACATGTTGTATCAATTCTGTCAGTGTGGTTATAGAGTCATAGTCATACAGTCATCCAGCATGGAAACAGACCCTTTGGCCCAACCACTCCATGCCAGCCGTAAACACAAACTAAACTAAACTAAACTAGTCCCACTTGCCTGCACTTGGCCCATATCCCTCCAAACATTTCTTATTCATGTACTTATCTAAATGTCTTTTAAACATTATAACTGTACCCCCGCATCCATCACTTCCTCTGGAAGTTAGTTCCACACACTAACCACTCTCTGTGTAAAATAAATTGCCTTTCATGTCTCCTCTCACCTTAACAATTTGCCCGCTAGTCTTGAAATCCCCTAACCTAGGGGAAAAGACACCTGCTCTTCACCTTATTTGTACCCCTCATGATTTTGTAAACCTCTATAAGGTCACCACTCAACTTACTATGCTCTAGTGAAAAAAAAGTCCCAGCCTAACCAGCCTTATATCTGAAGCTGTCCATTCCTAGCAACCTCCTCTTTTCAACCCTGTCCAGCTAAATAGTATCCTTCCTATAACTGGGACTCCAGAAGAGGCCTCACCAAAATCCTGTAGAACTTCAATATAACATCTCAACTCCTATACTCAAAGATCTGAGCAATAAAGGCAAGCATGCTAAATGCCTTCTTAATCATCATGTCTATTTGTGGTGCAAACTTCAAAGAATTATGTACCTAAACCCCTAAAGAATTATGTACCTAAACTCTACACTAACCAAAGTCCTAATTTAACTGTATAAGTCTTGCATTTTGTTTGTTTTAACAAAATGGAATGCCTTGCATTTATCCAAATTAAACTCTATCTGCCACTTTTTAGCCCATTGATCCAAATGATCAAGATCTCTTTACAATCTTAGATAACCTTCTTCACTGTCCACTATACCACCAATCTTGATGTCATCTGCAAACTTACTAACCATGCTTTCTATATTCTCATCCAAATCATTTATATAAATTACAAACAAAAGAGGACCCAGAACTGTTTGTGTGGAACGCCACTGGTCATAGGCCTCCAGATCAATAAACAACCCCCCACCATCATTCTCTGTCTCCTTCTGTTAAGCCAATCTTTTATCCAATTGGCAAGCTCATCCTGAATCCCATGCGATCTAACTTTACTAATTCGTCTATCACGCACAGCCTTATCAAGGGCTTCACTAAAGTTCAAGTAAACAATGACTACCACTCTGCCCTCATCAATCTTCTTGGTTACTTCCTCAAAAACTCAACCAATTTTGAGAGACATGATTAAAACCCAAAAGAACTGCAGATGCTGTAAATCAGGAACAAAAACAGAAGTTGCTGGAAAAGCTCATCAGGTTTGCAGCATCTGGGAAGACTAAATCAGAAGACTAATTAACTTTTGGGCCACTGGACCTGCAATATTGACTCTGATTTTGACTTCACAGATGTTGTGAGACAAGATTATGATTATGAGACATGATTTCCCTTGCACAGGACGTGGGAATTTTTTTTCTTTATTCATTCACAGGAAGAGGATGTTAAGGATGGGCAATAAATACTGCCTCATCAGCACTTGCCCAGAGGGTAGTTAAATGTCAACCACATTGCTGTGGATCTGGAGCCAGACCAGGTAAGGATGGCAATTTCCTTCCCTGAAGGGCATTAGTGAAACAGATGGGGTTTTTTTTCTCCTGACAACCAGCAAAGGATTTATGGTCAACATTAGATTCCTAATTCTAGATATTTATTGAATTCAAATTCCACCATCGGCTGTGGTGAGATTCAAACCCGGGTTCCCCAGAATATTATCTGGTCTCTGGATTAACAGTCCAGCGATAATACCACGGGCCATTGCCCCCCGCTGAACGTTCCCTGGATTCTGTCTATATGAGACTGTTGATGCAATTGTAGGATGCTCCCTAAGTGCAATTGAGGTTGGTTGGCTCACCATGCTGGTTTGTTGTTCCGCAGACATTTCGTTACCGTGCTTGGTAACATCCTCAGTGCAGCCTCAAATGAAGCGTCGGTGTGTTTTCCCACCTGGCTTTTAAACTCTGGGGTCCGTTGCGATGGATTGCCTCACTTCCAGGTTTCCTCCGTAGTGCTATGTATATGGGGTCGAGTTCAATGTGCTCATTAATAGCATGTTTATTAATAACATTACACTATGGAGGAAACCCAGAAGTGAGGCAATCCATCGCAACAGACCCCAGATTTAAAAACCAGGCGGGAAAACACACCGACGCTTCATCAGAGGCTGCACTAAGGATGTCACCAAGCACGGTAACGAAACATCTGCGGAACAACAAACCAGCTCGGCGAGCCAACCAACCTCAATACCCACAACCCGAGCTACAGATCTACTCCAAAACCTTAGAGTCAGTGTAATTGTGGGACACTGTTCCTGCAATGTATCATGTTGCTTACTCTGGGACCTTACTTGTGTGAATTCCATCCAAACAGGTTGGTCAATGTGATTTTAGGATGCTCCTTTAGTAGGGACCATTATATTGTGGGATACACTTGATGTGGATTATGCTCAGACGAGGCAATTAGGATAAGTGTGGAATGGTCCCTAGGCAGAGCTCCTCTTGACTGGAACCAAAGTCATAGCCCCAAACCAACCCTTTGTTCCTCACTCCCACTAGACTTCACTCAGGCAGAGCGAATTCTGCTGTGGCTCGTTTGAATAATGGCCTAATGCAGCTCCATTTATGGGTTTTGGAGTGGTTGCTGGTGTAATTAAGTGTCTGGTTCATTTGGCTAGTCTTTCTGTATACACTGGTCTGGAGATCCCCGTTGTTTTGACGTTCCACCATTACATCTAGGAAGGGTAGTCAGTTATTGTTCTCTTCTTCTTTTGTGAATTTTATTAAGGATGAGGATGTTGTTTATGTGTCGGTGGGTTTCTTCTAGGCTTGTGCATTTGATAATCACAAAGGTGTCATCTAGGTAGCAGACCCAGAGTTTGGATTGGATAGTGGGAGCGCTGCTCTTTCTAACCTTTGCATTACTGCTTCTGCTATCAGTCCTGATATCGGGGATCCCATTGGTGTTCTGTTGATTTGTTTGTTGAAGGTGAAGTGGATCGTGAGGCATAGATCCAGCAGTTTCAGGGTGCTGTCCTTATTGATGCTGTTGGTGTCATGAGGGTGTCTGCCTTCCTAATTCGTCCAGCAGTGTGGCAATTGTCTCTTTGGCTAGGTCAATGTTTACGGATGATGTTACCTCCACGACAGACCACAACAAGAAGACACAACGTGGCCAGACGCCCTAGTCACCTGACTGTACATCAGGGACATATCAGAGATGACGACAAGGCTACTGAAACCTGTAGGCATCAGGGTAGCCCACAAACCAACAACGACCCTACGACACCCTGTGAACATAAAGGATCCCATACCCACAACCAATAAAACTAACGTGATATACAAAATACCTTGCAAGGACTGTGAGAAACATTACATAGGCCAAACTGGAAGAAAACTGGCGATAAGGATACACGCACAACAACTAGCCACCAAGAGACACGACCAGTTCTCACTGGTCTCAATACACACGGAAAAAGAAAGACACAAATTCGACTGCAACAAAACATCCATAATAGCACAAGCCAAACAGAGACATGCCAGGGAATTTCTGGAGGCCTGGCATTCTAACTGGAACTCCATCAACAAACACATTGAACTGGACCCATATACAAACCTTGAAAAACAAAACTGGAAGTGATGCCAGCCACCCCAGCAAACCGAGGCATATAAATAACAAGTAGGACAGAATACCAATGCTACACCAGAGGCGCATTGACAATGTTACCTAGCAGAGTGACGAAATGTCTGCAATCAAACACACTGACTCAGTGAGCAAGAATATAGCTAGGGGACATATTTTTAAAGTGAAAGGAGAAAGATTTAAAAAGAACATGAGGCGCAATTTTTCTTTACACAGAATGAACGTCCAGAGAAAGTGCTGGATGCAGATACAGTTACAACATTTAAAAGACATTTAGATATGTAGATGAATAAGAAATGTTTAGAGGGATATGGCTAAGCACAAGCAGGTGGGACTGGTTTAGTTTGGGATTATGATCAGCATGGACTGGTTGGACTGAAGGGTTTGTTTCCCTCCCTGTATGACTCCATGACTCTAATACAGATTGAGGGGCTGGACGAAATAACAGAGGTAGGGAGGGCAAGGTCCACAGAGGGATTTGAAAACAAGGATGAGAATAAACATTGACACAAGGTAAACTTGCCAGTTATAACATATAACTAATATTTTGTTGCTTATGAGGGTTCTGCAAGTGGAGATAATTAATAATTTCATAAGTAAATTGGAATGGGTACTTGAGGGAAATAAATTTGCAGGCCTGTGGGGTAATAACATGGATTGGATCGCTCTACAGGCAGCTGGAATGGACTTGATGGGCTAAATGTCTTCTTTCAGTGAAGTAATTACTCAAACAATGAGAAGGTGCTGCAGATTTATAGGGAGCCAGTGGAGATGCAGTAATGTCACAGGACTCATAATCCAGTGCGAAGGAGAAATGTGTGTGTATATGTATGTGTGTGTGTGTGTGTGTGTGTGCGTGCACATGTATGTCTGCCTTTCAGATTTCTAGCATTGCAGTATTCAGCATTTATTACCATAATCCAGTGTGAAGGAGAAATGTGTGTGTGTATATGTATGTGTGTGTGCGCGCATGCACATGTATGTCTGCCTTTCAGATTTCTAGCATCGCAGTACTCAGCATTTATTACCATAATCCAGTGCGAAGGAGAAATGTGTGTGTGTATATGTATGTGTGTGTGTCTATATGTATGTATGTGTGCGTGCGCATGCACATGTATGTCTGCCTTTCAGATTTCTAGCATCGCATTATTCAGCATTTATTATCATAATCCAGAGGCCCAGATTAATACATTTGAATTCAATAATAAGATGGCCCCATGGTGATTATTGTAACTAACCTATCTGTTTCACTAATGTCTTTAGGGAAGAAAATCTGCCTTCCCTACTTAGTCTGGCCTACATATGACTTCACACCTACAACAATGTTGACTTTTAACCGCCCTCTAGGCAATCAGGGATTGACAATCAATACTGGCCTAGTCAGTACATTCCATGAATGAATAAATTTTTAAAATTGCCATGGAATGCAATCCTTTTGAGACAGTGAAAGGAATTATTTTTTGCTTGACCTGATATTTGTTGTGAAGCTCAGTTTTGACTTTATCTTAACCAAGGCAATATCGTAATCGTAAAACTCCCGGATGCCCATTTCCACCTTCCCAGTCAGGTTGTAGTTTGGGTGTTTTATCACTCTGTCTATTTTCAGTTGTACCTTCTTACCAGAAGCCCCTGTGTGAAAATCAGAGAAAATAAAGGTTAATTCATTCACAAGTTCTTTCTTCGAATGTGATATGAAACTGAGGCCCACTCTGGCCTCTCATGTGGACGTGAAAGATCCTAAAGCCATTATTCCGAAGAAGATGCTTTTACTGTGCCATGTGCTACAATGTATAAGACCATAAGACATGGGGACAGAAGTCAACCATTTGACCTATTGCATCTACTCCACCATTCAATGAGATCACGGCTGATCTGATAATCCTCCATTCCACTTTCCTTCCTTTCTCCCATAACCCCCAATTCTCTTACTGATTAAAAAATGCGTCAATCCCCGCCTTGAATATTCTCACCAAAGTCACCATCAGTTAGTGTTTACCACATTCCTGTTACATGGGAGCTGCCGTGTTTGCTTATCTCACACCTGTGACAATATTTCAAAAACATTCATACATAAAGCCCTTTGCGAGGTTCTGGGGGACACTGGACTGAGTGCCAGGGCAGCACGGTGGCTCAATGGTTAGCACTGCTGCCTCACAGCGCCATGGACCTGGGTTTGATTCCAGCCTCAGGCGACTGTCTGTGTGGAGTTTGCACATTCTCCCTGTGTCTGTGTGGGTTTCCTCCAGGTGTTCCAGTTTTCTCCTACAGTCCAGGTTAAGTGGATTGGCCATGCTAAATTGCCTACGTTGTCCAGGGATGTGCAGGCTAGGTGGATTAGCCATAGGAAATGCAGGGTTATAGGGATGGGGGAGGGGAGTGGGTCTGGGAGGGATGCTCTTCAGAGGGTAGGTGTGGATTTGATGGGCCGAATGGCCTCTTACACAATGTAGGGATTTTATGATTATCCAATGATGAAAGATTTGTGCCCATTGGAGTCTAGAAGAACAAGATATGATCAGATTGAAAGGTATAAGGTTCTGGCAGGGTTTAATAGGGTGAATACCAGGAGGATGTTTCCACTTGTGGGTGAGACTGGGCCCTAGGGGACACAATTTAAGGGTAAGAGGTCTCCCATTGAAGATTGACATTAGAAGAATGTGTTTGTCTCAGAGGGTCACTAATTCTCATCCCAGAAAGCAATATATAAATGTATGAATTAGGACCAAGAGTAGGCCATTCTGCCCCTCGAAGCTGCTGTGCCATTCAATAAGATCATGGCTGATCTCATTGTGGCCTCAAATCCACATTCCTGCCCACTGCCAGATAACCTTCCACCCCATCACCTAACAATAACCTATCCACCTCTGACCTAAAAATATTCAAGGACTCTGCTTCCACGACATTCTAAGGACCAGTGCTCCAAAAACACATGACATTCCAAGACAAATAAAATCATGCCTTCAATCCCTTTCAGATTCCCTTTCAGACCCCTTTTGTTTTAAGAAAGATAATGATGACCTTCTAGTTCTAGATTCTCTCATCATGGGGAAACACCCCTCCATTCTCTCAGACCCTTACCTGCTTCAGTCAAATCACTCTTTCCAAGATCTGGAATCTCTTCCACACTGATCATCTACTATTGGTACACGTTGGGAGGTTTTGCAGGCTGGAACTCAACCAGGCCACGTTACTAATGTACATTCCTTGGCCAAAATATCCTGGAGTGGGACTTGCATCCGCAGATTCTGGCTCAGAGGCACAGATGCTACCCACTGCTCCACAAGACTTCATGCAAGAGTCAGGTTGGCATTAATAAAGGCGATAGGGAACTGGGAGAAATCTCTTCAACCAGGGAGCAGTGAAAAAGTGGAATTCTCTATCTCAGAGAGTGGTTCAGATGAATAGTATAGATACATAGAAGCATACAATCCCTACAGAGCAGAAGCAGGCCATTCGGCTCATTGTGTCTGCACTGATCGTCCAGAGAGCATTCCACCCAGATCCATCCTCCTTAACATTATTCCATGCAATCATGCATTTCCCATGGCTAATCCACTTAACCTACACCTCCCTGAGGACAGTGAGCAATTTAGCATGACCAATCCATCTAACCTGCACATCTTTGGACTGTGGAAGGAAACCAGAGCACCCGGAGTAAACCCAAGCAGACACGGGGTGAACATCCAAACTCCATGCAGACAGTCACCCGAGGTTGGAATTGAACCCAGGTCCCTGGAGCTGTGAGGCAGCAGTGCTAACTGCTGAGCCACCACACTGCCCCTTGTAAGAGGAAACTGGATAAACAAATGAGGCAGAAAGGGGCAAAGGGATGTGAGGAGGCTGGTTTTAAACCAAAACACCGACATAGAGCAATGGGACTGAATAGCCTGTGTCATGAATGAATTGAACTATCAGATGAATGAGTTGTGTTCAGTGGAATAAAGGCTGACTGGGCTTGATAAGGAGTGGCCTGTTTCCTGTGTCACACTCCCAACCTAGTTCTGCCGAAAACAGAAAGGCATCAAGGAGTTCTTTTCTTACCAACGAAAATGAGTCTGCTGTTAATGTTTCCCTCGGTCAGATATTCGAAGCAATGGGCTGCTGTTAGGATCCACTCATCCCCCACAATGGATCCAGAACATCGAAAGTCCTATGGAGGACATGGTTCATTGAAAACTTCCTGATGATCTGCTACCAAGACCTTGCCTTTCGCCCCAGGGTTCAGTCACATCGGTAACACCCCTCCCCCTGGCCTCTGCTAGACACAACCAAACCTTCACCAGATCCCACCCAACCATCTCCCTTTGAGCCAATTGTCCTGCACTGGGTCCCAGGCCTTTTCAAATTTCTAATTCTCACCCACTTCCTTCAATTCTGTCACGGTCTCTCCCCTTGAGGTGACCTCTGACTTTGTAATTGCTCCACACCCTGCCTCATATTCAATGGGACCAATGGTATAACAGGAAAGCCATGTGATACAGTCCTCCCACTGCCACCCCATCAAGATGGCTTTCTACTACAATGATGTTTTGGGATTGGAAGGCAGGATCCTTGATCCTAATCGGGACAGATCTGCTCTCCAAAATCATTTATGAACCATCTCTCTCTTAACGCTGAGTCACACATATTCTCATTCCTTCTTTATCTCCCTCTTTCTACCCTGTTTAAAATTCTTCCTGCCTCTTCTTTCTCTCCATAATGAATTATTTCCTATCCCACTCCTCTTTTTAGTCTTCTCCTCTTTCTTCATCTTAATGTATGTCTCTTTTATCCTCTCTCTCCCTCTCCCCAATGCTCTCTCTATACTGTGATTGTCTGTTTCTTTATCTATCTCTCTAAACATCTCTCTCTGCTGAGTTTCTCACACATCCTCTTCCTGTGTGTTTGCCTGTGTGTCTATCTCTGTCTCTTTGTATCTTCCTTCCCCATATCTCACTCTCCTTCTCTGCATGTGTGGCACATCTATGTCTCTTTCTTTCTCTCCATATGTGTATATGCCTTGTGTACACTCTCTCTTGCTTTTGACAGTCTCTCCCACTTTGTGTTGAAGAAGACGTTTGGTACATTTGCCTTTATTGGTCAGGGCATTGAGTATAGGAATTTGGAGGTCATGCTGTGTCTGTACAAGACATTGGTTAGGCCACTTTTGGAATTCTGCATTCAATTTTGGTCTCCCTGCTGTAGGAAGGACATTGTGAAACTTGAAAGGGTGCAGAAAAGATTTACAAGGATGTTTCTAGGGTTGGTGGGTTAGAGCTATGGGGAGTGGCTGGAGCTATTTTCCCTGGAGTGTCAGAGGCTGAGGGGTGACCTTATAGAGGTTTATAAAATCATGAGGGGCACAGATAGGGTGAATAGCCAATGTCTTTTTCCCAGGACAAGGGAGTCCAAAACTAGAGGGCATAGGTTTAACATGAGAGGGCTAAGATTTAAAAGTGACTTAAGGCGCAACTTTTTCACTCAGAGGTTTTTGTGTGTATAGGTTGAGATGCCAGAGGAAGTGGTGGAGGCTGAAACAATTACAACAGTTAAAAGGCACCTGAATGGGTATATGAATTGGAGGGGTTTGGAGGGATATGGGTCAAATGCTGGCAAATGGAACTAGATTAGTTTAGGATGTCTGGTCGACATGGGCAATTTGGACCGAAGGGCCTGTTTCTGTGCTGTACATCTCTAAGACTCTGTGATTCTATGTGCTTGTGTTTGTGTGCAAGCATTTCTCTCTGACTCTGTCTCTGTGCATAGGTCTTTTTTTCCCTTTCAGTGAATATAGCTCTCCATCAGAGAAGTAAAAACATGTCATGTAAACTCACCGGATTGTCATTACTGCGAACTTCTGCATACCACGGAAAGGAACTCTGATCGCTTACAGTTAAACTTTTATTGGCAAAACCACACAGGTTTCCAACGGAAGTGAGATCTGTAAAAATGCATTTTGTTCAACTTTAGTGCTGTGTTACAGAGCAAGGCCATTATTGGGAAAAGCAGATAAAAACCGAAAGAACTGCGGATGCTGTAAATCAGGAACAAAAACAAAGTTGCTGGAAAAGCTCAGCAGGTCTGGCAACATCTGTGAAGGAAAAAATAGAGTTAACGGACCCCAAACGTTTGCTCTGTTTTTTCCTTCACAGATGTTGGGAAAAGCAGATGTTTCATCAGTTGTCCAAATGTAAAGGGAAAGTAAAAGGAGATTTTTTTTAAAAACTCACGTTAAATGATAGATAAGGTGTGTGCATTGTTTTCCATGGAAACCTATGCACTCTAAATCAGCAATCTCATGACAGATACCACTGTAGTATCAATGGTATTGGGTTATAAATGTATCTGAGTGTTGACAACTCATTTGCTGTGGTACATCACTTGCCCAACTCTTCAGCACTGTTGAGAGAGAGGCATGTTGACAAATCTTTTAGTCTTGCTCTCATTGGGACCATTGCAAGAATTCCAAGTTTCAAGCAATCACAATAATTTATAACGTAGGAGAAAAGAGTGCTGGTTGGTGGGAAAGTCAACTCTGATTGGCCCAGATGTTACCATGGGGAAAAGAAAAAGTAGGGAACTAAAGCTCCCAAGCTCCTGTGTGTAATTTAGTAAAAGGCGAAAGGCTTGAACATGTCCCTTCTGTTTGCAGAGAATGGGTTCCTGTGTATGAAGGTTTGCTGTTCCAGCAAGCCTCAATGAACCATGTTATGAACTCAACCAAATTATCTTAAGTTGGTCATTAGCATAATTATCGATACAACCAGGATCATTCAGCAAATGCTGTCCAATCGCCCAATCACATCTTCTTAAGCGTAAATTGATGTGAACGTTTGAAATTTGGCATCTTGTATTTGTCCCCTTGAGTACAAGATGGAAAACTTTGACATCATATTTCTTTCCAGCAATGTTCAAGTTAGAAAACCGTACGATGGAGGAGTAGAGATTGGCTATTCAGTCCATCAAGTCATCCAATGAGATCATGGCTGATCTGATTATCCTCCACTCCATTTTCCTGCCTTTTCACCGTAATCCTTGATTTCCTTACAGATTAAAATATGTCCATCTAAGCCTAGAGTATACTTAATGACCCAGTATTGACAGCACAGCATTCCACAGATGCACCACCCCCTGGGAGAACAAATTCCTCCTCATTTCTGTCTTATTTCAGCGAGTCTTACTCTTGAAAATAAATGCTCTGGTCTCCTCTTGTTTTCCTAAACTCCAATGAGTATAGGTCCAGTCTACACAACCTCTTCACATAGAAAAATCCCTCCATACCTGGAATCAACCGATCAAACCTCCAGTGCCAGCATATTTGTTCCTTCGGTAAGGGGAACAGAATGATTCACAGTATTCCAACTGTAATCTGAACACTTCCTTGTATGGTTTTAGCAAGACCTCTCTATTTTTATATTACACTCCATTTGAAACAAAGGCCAACATTTCATTTGTCTTCCCCATTGCTGGCTGAACTTGGCTGCTAGATTTTTGTGAGTTATGCATAAAGATACCCAAATCCCTCTGTGCTGCAGTTTTCTCCAGTCATTCCCACATTTAAATAATATTAAGCTCTTTTATTCCTCCTGGCAAAGTACATAATCTCACATTTTCTCACATTATATTCCATCTTCCAAGTTTCGCTTAACCTATCCATACCTCTCTAGAGACAGCTTGTGTCATTCTCATGACTTGCCTTCCCACCTACTTTTGTGTCATCCTCAAACTTGACATTCACTTCTGAGTCATAATATATATTGTAAGTAATTGTGGCCCCAGCATTGATTCCTGTAGAACTCCACTAGTTACAAGTTTCCACCTTGAAAATGCCCCTTTATCCCAAATTTCAGACTTCAATTAGCCGAACCTTTCAATGCTGGTAAGATATGCCAATGCACGGGCTCTTATTAAATATCCTGACATGTTGCACTTTATCGAATGCTTTTTGGAATTCCAAATATGTTACATCTATTGGTTCCTTTTTATCTATCTTGCTTGTTACCTCTGAACTATTAAGGTCATAAATATTTGTTCTTTTTAATATGCACAGAATTATGAGGTGAGGTGACACAAACTTACTTTTTATTTCTTTGGGCAGACAAGCTTGAGGACAAATCTGCCTTCAGTGTTTAAACTGAAGAAAAGAAATAGTGGGGCAAAAGGGGAGGCAAGAACAGAGAGACAAAGACTCATATTATATTTGGAATTCAGGCGAGAAGTTAGGAACGACAAATGCTATAGGGATCTGGGGTTCACACCCAAACCCCTTGCCCTCAAAAGAAAGATTACAGTGGGCTTGGAGATAATTAAGCCTTGCAAGACTGTGTGTCTGCAAGTCTCCTCCAGGTGTGAAGAAGCAGTTATTCCATTTCCAGGAGAGCAAAGGACATTGCAATTTAATTCCCTCTGTGCTCCTGTCCTGGCTTCTACACAGGCATGCACAACAACTGGGTGCACTTTTACAACAACTTTGACATAGTGAAATGTCACAAGGCACCTCACACGATCCAAGATAGAATCTGATACCAAGCCACAGGAGATGATATTTGGTTGAATGGGTGTATACAAAGAACATCTCAAAGGATGAGAGAGAGAGGATCAGAGAATTAGAGAGAGAATTCCAGAAGTAAAGAGAGACAAAGCAATGCCATCAGTAATGAAGCAATTAAAATCAGGGATTCTCAAAAAGGCGGAATTGTCGCAGGACAGACATCTCAATTGGTTGTAGAGCTAAACTAAGGGGTGTAAGGACAAGAAGAGATTTGAACACCGAGGTAAGAATTTTAAATTTGAGTTGTTTTCAACCCCAGAAGCAATAAAACTTAAGTCACTTCATGTGTCAATCTGAACATTTGTTAAGTGCACTGACATAAAGGATTAGAATCATAGAATCGCTACAGTGTGGAAGCAGGACATTCGGCCCATAGAATCCACACCAATCCTCAGATGAGTATCCCACCCAGCCCCATCCCCTACCCTGTCCCTGAAATCCTACATCTCCCGCGGCCAACCCACTAACCCTGCACATCCCTGGAAGTTATGGGCAATTTAGCATGGCCAGTCCACCTAACCCACGCATCATTGGCCCGTAGGAGGAAACTGGAGCACCCAGAGGAAACCCAGTGCAAACATGGGGAGAATTTGCAAAGTCAAGCTCTTTAGGGTATTTTGCTATGTTGAAGGTGCTATACAAATGCGAATTGCTGTTGCTGGAGGAGAGAAGGCGAAGAGAACAGTCTTCTGGGCACTTTTAATCAATCTGTTCAAGGATTTTATGCCACACCTATAGAGCAAGTGGATTTGAAGTCAGGCCTCCTGGCTTCTAGGTAAGAAGAGTTTGCTAGACAATGAAATTTCAATGTTTGAGGTTCAATAACACAGTTATTTTGTCTGGTAAGAATGGCCTCAATAGACACCAACAATGGGGTTGTGAAGTCTACTTTCCTCGGGAGGTTGTTGGTGCTGGTGCCACAGTGAGGCAGAGACAATACCATCCGCTAAAAGGAGATTAAATATTTAAATCAGGGAAAATCATGCGGATAAAGGGAGAGAGTGTGGCAGTGGGTTTAGTTAAGAATGAATATAAAGCAATGTGGAGAGTTTGGGGCAGTAAGATTAGTTAGGGAGGAATATCATAGAATCCATACAATAAGGAAACAGGCCATTCAGCCCACTGAGTTCACACTGACCCTCAAAGAGCATCTCACCCAGACCCAACCCCCTACCCTATCCCTGTATCCCTGCTTTTCGCATGGCTTAACCCACCTAACTGTCACATCCCTAGATGCTATGGGAAATTTAGCATGGACTATCCAGCTAACCTGCACATCTTTGGACTGTGGGAGGAAATTGAGCATGCGGAGGAAACCCATGGAGACACAGGGAAAACGTGCAAACTCCACACAGACAGTCGCCCGAGGGTGGAATCGGATTCAGGCTCCTGGTGCTGTGAGGCAGCAGTGCTAACCGCTGAGCCATCGTGCCACCCATTATAGAGCAATGGGGAGAGATTTGGACAGTAAGATTGGTTAGGAATTGAGATGGGGCTATGTGGATTGTGTGCAGGTGTGGGATCAGTTTGGGATCGGTACATAGTTATGGGGAGAGAGTGGGACAGTGGGATTAATTTATGATCAATACAGGCTTTGGAAAAGCGTGGGACAATGGGATTAGTCTGGGATTGATACCAGGCTATGGGGAAATAGGAGAGCAATGAAATGAGTTGAGAATTGATACAGGAGCAAGAGCAGGGCTGTAGGATTAGTTTGCAATTGATATATTGGGATTATTCTGGGATTGATATTCTGGGATTGATTGGGGAGAGTGTGAGGAAGTGTGGTTAGTTTGACATTGTACAGGGCAATGGGGAGAGAATCAGTTGGTGGAATTCGTTTGGAATTGACACAGCAAGATGCCATCACAGGGACAATGGGCCAAATGAACTCTGCATGTTAATCCTCAGCTGTTCTATTGCAATTTTACTAAGGGAGCTGTACCTTGAAATGATGAGATAATTCAGCAAACCAACATTTAACACAGGACGCTTTTCAGGATCTTAATGAGACAACAACCAACCAGGGATGGAGCTGCTGGAAGGGGCTGGTGCCAAGTTGGCTCAATGTGTTTAGAGGGAATCCTAAAGGAGGTGCTGTAGCTGAAGGGTGGATGGTGGGGAGCTGAACTGTTGAACGGTAGCTCCCTGGTGAAAAGCTAATGAAACCCTTCTTACCTAGCATCGAGTTGAAGACAGTTGTTAGGTCCTCCGTCTGAATGGAGAACACATGCCTCTCGTTATTCTTCTTAGATGCAACTGAGTTGATCTCCTCTTTGTCAACATCATTGCCAAGGCCAAACCCGTAGACATCTGAAAGAGAAATCAGCATCGCCTGAGCAGGAAAGCTCACTCCGACAGCAGGTCACTGCAGGAAGACGGTGGGGCCGAGACTGCAATGGACACCCAGTTTGTTTGCAATCTGTACCCATTGGACATGGCAGTGTGTCCCATTGGTTCCTAAAGCTCTTGGCACTCTTGGTGGGATTTCCTCAATTTGGGTCTGGCTTTCTTCTCAAATAATTGACAAGCGAATGATGCCGTGACTGATCAATAACTTGGTTATCATTGCAACACAGAACATGAGGGAAGGTAGGAAGGCGAAACAGAATTTGGGATGTGGTGGCTAGGTGGGAATGTCATTGAATTAGTAATCCAGACCGTTCCCCCAGTCTAATGCTCTGGGATTACGGGTTCGAATCTCACCATAGCAATGATGAAATTGGAATTCAATAAAAATCTGGAATAAAAAGCGAGCCCAATGGTGACCATGAAACAACCATCAGTGTTGTTTAAAAATCCATCTGGCTCACTACTGTAAACTTCTGTGTGTTGCAGGCTATGACTGGTGAGCCTCCTTGCAGGATAGCAACCAGCCTTATAGCAGCTGAATGGTTTGGAAGCAGGAGTAATGGGCGTTAGACCAAAGAACTTCAAGGCTCCCAAAATCCATCTAATTTAGGATGGCCCTACCCATAGGCTCCAAGCCCAAATTCCAAGCTGTGGCTAGAATTATGATGACAATCCCTTTCAAACAAACCTCGAAACTTTGTTTCACATCAGATGTTATAATTCTTTTAAAATTTATTCACAGGCCAGGATTTATTGTCAACAGGGCAGCTAAGTGTCAACCACATTACTGGAGTCACATTTAGGCCAGGCCAGGTAAGGATGGCAGTTTCCTTTCCTAAAGGACATTGGGTTTTTCCTGTCAATCAACAATGGTCACCTTTAGACTCCTAATTCCAAATATTTATTGAATACAAATTCTACCATCCGGCATGGCAAGATTCAAACTTGGGTCTCCAGAGCATTACCTGGGTCTCTGGATTAATAGTCTAGACTAGGCCATCACCTCTCCCACAAACATGGAAGGTAGGAGTAGGAGTGGGGCCAACAAATCCTGCTCTACCATTCAATATGATCATGGCTGATCATCAAGCTCAATATCCTAATCCCACCCTCATCCCAGATCCTTTTAGCACAAGAGCTATATCTAAAGGGTTCTGAAGAAGGGTCACTGGATTCAAAACTTTGACTCTGCTTTCTGTCCCCAGATGTTGGCAGACCTGCTGAGTTTTTCCAGCAATTTCTGATTTTGTTTCTCATTTCCATCAGTACTTTTTTTTTTCACAAGAGCTACATCTACTCCTTCTTGAAAACACGTAATATTTTCTCCTCAGCCACTTCATATGGTAATGAATTCAACAGGCTCACCACTGTCTGAGTGAAGAAATTTCTCCTCATCTCAATACTAGGAGATTTTTCCAATATCCTTAAACTGGTTCCGGACCCCTCCCCCTCTCCCCCACTCCACCCCCAACCATTGGGAACATATTTCCTACATCTAACCTGTGCAGCCCTGTTAGAATTTTATAGGTTTATATGAGATCCCATCACATTCCTCTGAACTCCAGTGAACACAATTCCAACTGACAATCCAGAGACCCAGGTATTGTTCTGAAGACCCTGGTTTGAATCCTGCCACAGCAGATGATGAAATTTGAATTCAATAAAAATCCGAATTAAGAGTCTAATGATTACAATGAATCCATTGTCGACGCTCAGAATAAACCCATCTGGTTTACTATAGTCCTTTAGGGATAGAAATCTGCCGTCCTTACTTGGTCTGGCCTACATGTGACTCCAGACCCACAGCAATGTGGTTGACTCTTAACAGCCCTCTGGGATGGGCGATAAATGCTCGCCTAACCAGTGCTAGGCTCATCCCGTGAATGAATAAAAGAATCTCTCATCATAGGTCAATCCCGCCAACCCAGGAATCAATTTGTCTCCAGTTACTTAACGTTAAAATAAAAGACGGGGGAAATCATGCTGACACTCCCCAGTAATGCCCTCCACCAGCTCTAGTATCCTAGAAAAAATGGTGAAACTGTCAGAGACACTTTACCAAGAAACTCTTCTCCAACTTTCTCAATGTCCAGGAAGTTCCGAATGCGATCCATCATTGGTTTGGGATTTCCTCCCATGTTATTCCTCCCTGGAAAACAGACAAAGGTCCAAAGATTGTTTGTTAAAGGTCAACTACTTGTGATTGTGATTTTTAAAAAGAAAAGAATATTTCCTAATCAACCTTTACAGTGATGTCATTGGAGCAGGTTGAGACTTGAACGTGGCGGGCTCGAGGCGCCGGATGGCCTACTCCTGCTCCTAGTTCTTACGTTCTTATGTTTAACACAGGCCTCCTAGCCCAGCACTTTTTTTATTATTTTGCTGTCATGCCATGAGACCTGTTTATTCACATATAGTTTCATGAGTGTTTGATTCAGTTTTCTGTCACCTTTCCTGGCCCCCAACAAACTCTACCACTCAAAGCCAATGCACAGCATGCCCAAGGATTGTACAGGATCTTTGGAGAGGATTCCAGAGATTGGTCTTCCTGGAGGAAGCATTCCCTTCATTTTTTTTATATTCAATCATGCAATGTGGGATAAGCCAGGAATTTTTTTTCCATCCCTAGTTGCCCTTGAGAAGGTGGTGTTGAGCTGCCCTCTTGAATTGCTCCTCACAGCACCAGGAACCTGGGTTCGATTCCAGTCTTGGGCGACAGTCAGTGTGGAGTTTGCAGGTTCTCTCCGTGTCTGCGTGAGTTTCCTCCAGGTGCTCTAGATTCCTCCCACAGTCCAAAGGTGTGCAGCTTAGGTGGATTAGCCATGCTAAATAAGGGGTTATGGGGATATGGTGGGAGGCAGTGGACCTGGGTAGACACCCTTTGGAAGTTTGGTGCTGACTCAATGGATCAGATGACCTCTATCTGCACTGCAGGCATTCTATTTGCTGTAGTTGACCCACAGTGCCATTAGGGAGGGAATTCCAGGATTTTGACCCAACCACAGTGAATGAATGGTGATATATTTCCAAGTCAAGATGGTGAGTGGCTTAGAGGGAAACTTGCAGGAGGTGGCATTCCCATGTATCTCCTGCTCTTGTCCTTCTAGATGGAAGTGGTCACAAGTTTGGAAGGTACTGTCTGAGGATCTTCAGCAAATTTATGCAGTGCATCTTGTAGATTGTATACATCGTATACACTGCTGCTAATGAGCATTGGTGGTGGAGGGAGCAGATGTTTGTGAATGTGGTGCTAATCTGAGGGAAGGTTGAACAGGCATTGCCTACATTGGAGTTTCGAAGAATGAGAAGCGATTTTATTGAAACGTAAGATTCTGAGAGACTTTACAAGGTGAGTATTGAGAGGATGTTTCTTCTCATGGAGGAATGTAGAATTGGGGGGGAGGGGTCCAGTCTCAAAATAAGCTGCAGCAAAGAGGAATCTCTTTATTCAGAGGATCACAAGCCTTTGGAATTTTCTTCTCTCTACAGAACAAAGGAAGCTGAGTCATTGAATATATTTGATGCTGAGTCTGTAGTGGGTAAAAAGTTATGGCCTGCGCAGAGTGAGAGCTGACAGTAAGTAGAGTTGGGGCCACAGTTAGAATCCCAATAGTGTGGAAGCAGGCCGTTCAGCCCACACTGACCCTCAGAAGTGCATCCCACCCAGACCCAACACCAGCACCCCACCCAATCCCTGTAACCTTCATTTACCATAGCTAATCCACCTAGCCTATATATCCCTGGACACTATGGGCAATTTCCCAAGGTCAATCCACCTAACCTGCACATCTTTGGACTGTGGGAGGAAACCCACACAGACATGGGGAGAATGTGCAAATTTCACACAGACACGGTTGCCTGAGGGTGGAATCAAACTCAGGTCCCTGGCAATGTGAGGCAGCAGTGCCAACCACTGAGCCACCACGCCAACCCAGATTAACTATGATTTGATTGAATGATGCAGCAGACTCGAGGGGCTGAATAGCCCACTCCTGCTCCTAATTCCTGTGTTGTCACATTGAACCCGGGGCCAAAAATTGTTGCGGAAACATTGGCAGAGGTAGCTTTCTCAAACCGAAAGGAAGGTTTGGTTCATTGTTACCTACCATCAGTGAAGATCATGATGGCGTGTCGGACCTCCCTCCATTCTGCCTGTTTGTCCTTCATTGATGCCTTCTTCAGAACCATCATTTCGAAAATCGTTTTCAAAGCTCCGGTCATGTTCGTTCCTGCATCGCTGTACCTTGTGATGTCTAAGATCGAGAGGTTTAATCAGACAATGTGCTTTCAGGAAGATTCTGAGGCTTCTGATCACGAAATCAAACATCAAAGCTAGGCCCATTCCCCCAGTCAAGAAACTCAAGGAGTGTAGCACTGCCAAAGGTGTCTCCTTAAAGATATGGCTTCAAATAAGGGCATTACAGGGAGTCCAGAACGAGAGGGCACAGGCTTCAAATTAGAATTGGGCCATTGCAGTAGTGTCACTGAGTGGTCCAAGACACTGGATTAAAGCTCCAGCCTCTGAGGACTTGTGTGTTTATACCCCATTGCTGCTGGAACTTTATTTTCGTCTCCTTCGGCATACAGCTTGGGTTGGACCAGTGGCAGCTGCAATTTAATGCCAGGAAGTGCACACCATTTTTGGCACCTGATGATGGTGCCATGGTAATACCAATGGACTAGTCACCTAGAGGCTTCAGCCTTTACAGGTTCTTAACCCTACCACAGAAAGCTGGTGGAATTTGAACTCAAACAATAAATCTGGAATGTGAAGTTACACTATCACTGGAGGGGAGGTGATGGCCATCATGTTTTGGTATGACAACTGCTCTGCCCAGGACTGTAAGAAAATACAGAGACCAGACCATCACACAAGCCAACCTTCCATCCACTGACTCCATCTATACTTCTTGCTGCCTCAGGAAGGCAGACTCAAAGACCCCTCACACCCCAGTTATAATCTCTTTCAACCTCTTCTGTCAGATAGAAGATAAAAAAAGCTTAAGCTTACAAACCAACAGATTCAAGAACAGCTTCTTCCCCATTGTTATTAGACTTCTGAATGGATCTCCCAAGCTTTAAATTTAATGTTGATCTCGCTCTTTGTGCACCTTCTCTGCAGACTTTTCTGTATTCCTCACTCTGTTCTATTACCCTAATGTACTTTATATGGTATGATCTGCCTGTACTGCACGCAAAACAAAACCTAGGCACATGTGACAATAATAAATCAAATCAAAACCAAAGAGTGGTATTATCACTGGACTATTAATCCAGAAACTCAGCAAATGATTTGGGAATCCAGGTTCAAATCCTATCACGGCAGATGATGAGTTTTTTTTTGTTGAATTGAATTCAATTTTAAAAATGGATTTAAGAATCGACTGATGACTATGAAACCAGTGCCAAATGTCAGGAAAACACATCTGGCTCACTGACGTCCTTCAGTAAAGGAAACTGCCATCCTCACTTGGTCTGACTACTTGTGACTCCAGACCCACAGCCATATGGTTGAATCTCAACTACCTTCTGAAGTAACCTGGCAAGCCATTCATTTCAAGGGCAGCTGGTGATGGGCAACAAATGCTGGCCAGCTAGCGTTGCCCACATCACTCAAGTGAATTTTTAAAAAAACTAATTGCCATACAAATCCACAGGTTCATAAACGCCACTATGGGCAAGGAGATCTGCCATCCTTACCTGTTTTGGCCTACCTAGATTCCAGACCCACAGCAATGTGGAGGAATCTTAATTGCACCTTGAAATGGCCCAGCAAGTCAATCAGTTCAAGGGTCATTGGGAATAGGCAGCAATTTCAGCCTTGCCAGTGAGGCCAAAACCTCTTTTTTCATGAAATAAACAGAATTCAGTTGATGTCACTTCCTAATGCAAAGGCTCATGAGACTGAGGGACAAGTGGAAAGGTCAAAACTGCAAATAATGATTTTTTTTTTGCCAGGCCAATGGATGAAGTGACATAGAAACATGGACAGCCATGATCAATGTCTATAGTGACATTGACTCAAGGGGCTGAATGGCTTCCACTGCTCCTATATTGAAGAATGGCTTCCTTGGGAAAAAATATGGGGCTCAATCAATCTCTCCAGAGGTAACTTTCGGGAGGGCAGCAAGACTTGAAATGAAAAAGGGACAAAAAGAAATGTTTTAAAAATTGTAAACGGCAAGCAACTTCCATGATAGTATTTAATTTCAACAACAAAGTGTTTTCATATAGTGCCTGAAGCATCTCACAGGAGTGTTAGACTTAGGATCCCTACAGTGTGGAAACAGGCCCTTCGGCTCAACAAGTCCACACTGACCCTCAAACATCCCTCACAGACCCATCTCCCTATAACCCACCTAATCTGTGGACACTATGGGCAATTTAGCATTGCCAATCCACCTAACCTGCACATCTTTGGACTGTGGGAGGAAACCAGAGCACCCGGAAGAAACCCACGCAGACACAGGAAGAATGTGCAAATTCCACACAAACAGTCGCTCGAGGCTGGAATCAAACCCGGGTTCCTGGTGCTGTGAGTCAGCAGTGCTAATCACTGAGCCACCGTGCTGTCAGGCAAAATATGACACCGAGCCACTCGAGGAGAAATTGGGCCAGATGAACAAGAATTTGGATCAATCAACGAGCTGTTTTTTTTAGGAATGTTTTTCAGGAGGAGAGGTTTAGGCAAGGAATTCTGGGGATTGGGATTGGGATGTTGAAAAGGCAATGGTGGAGCAGTTAAAAATCAGGGAAAGGGCAAGAGGTCAGCATTGGCGGACTACACAGTAATCTAGGGCCTGGAGACAATTACAGAAATAGGAAGGGATGATTCTAGGGAGGGAATTAAAAACAAGTTGAGAACCGTCACTGCTGACATCAGTGATAAGTGATGGGAGACAATCACCTACCTTCGTACTTAAGAGTAGGCAGTATTTGGAGCACAGAATCTGAGTCACTCACGTCATCATGAGCAATATTGACCTCTACACATGACCGAGAGCCGAACATCACCAGGCCGTAATTGACCCCAACTTCAAATTGTTTGATCTGCAGCAAGAGAGGAAATAGATTTCCTGTAAAACCCTCGGGAACGAACGACACTCCAAGAGGAAGGAGGATTGGCCAATCGGCCCATCACTCACTCCGTCCCATCCAACGACTGAGAGGTGAGTTGAACCCCACCATAATCTAGGCTGGCCCTGACAAAAAAAAATCAAAAATAAGATGGTGCCACAGACGAGGGTTTGTCTCTAGCACAATCTTAATTTTGATTTTTTTGTAATTATCTCTCTGCCTGAATTCGTCAGATCATAGATTATCCCTTCTCTTATTATTTAGCTGTTGACACTTCAATCACACTGTTTGACACCTGCAAAGACTCATTATTCAGCCTATTGACACTCCACTCACACCATTTGTGCTTACCTTTTGACACTCTTAATTACCTCTCCATCTGTAAATTCTGAGCCTGTGCGCTTCCCTCCACTTTGCCTGATGAAGGAGCAGCCCTCCAAAAGCTTGTGATTTCAAATAAACCTGGCGTGACCTCTGACTTTGCCCTGAAGGTGGCAGCGATAAGCTGCAGTCTTAAATCGCTGCAGTCCTTGGAGTGTAGGCACACCGCAGTGCTGTTAGGAAGGGAGTTCCAGGATTTTGACCCAGTAACGCTGGAGGAATGGTGACATAGTTCCAAGTCAGGATGGTTCATGGCCAGCAGCAATATTCGGTTGTGGTGTACTGCTGCCCTTGTCCTTCTAGATGATAGTGGTCGTGGATTTGGGAAGGTGCTGTCAAAGGAACCTTGGTGAAGTTGCTACAATTCATCTTGTAGATGATTCACTCTGCAACTACTGAGCATTGGTGGCAGAGGGAATGAAAGTTTAAGGTGGTAAGTGTGGTGGATGGTGTCAAGCTTCCTTGAGTGTTGTTGGAGCTGCACTCATCCAGGCAAGTGGGGAGTATCCCATCACACTTGTGCCTTGTAGATGGTGGACAGGCCGTTGTTGGGTGCCAACGAGAGGGTGGCATGGTGCCATTGCGGGAAGGGACTGCTTTGAACCAGATAACATGCTGAGTCAGTCACTTACCATGGTGACAAAGGTGGTCATGGCATTAATGGCTTTCTTAAAATCCACTTTCTGAATGCTTCCAGAAACATCAAGGAGAATGTAAATATGAAGTTTGTGATTTTGCCCCAGTATGAGCTTCCTGCCGTGGCTCTCTGAGAAAAACCGGAAACATTTATCAAATATTATCAGATAGTTACAATTATTCATAGACTACTTGATAGAACCAAATAGATAGCCAGATATATCACACCAGCAGAACCTGCTCGTTGAGTTAATTTGACTACAGAGATTTGTCAAGATAAATCACTTAATTAAAGGCAATGTTGCAATATCTAAGGAGTACTAGTCTCTGAATATCTATCTCATTTCTACTATATTCTACAGTTTTCTAGGCCACCCACTCTCTTCCAAGCCTCTCCTATGTCATTCTGTCCACAACCTTTTCAGTCAGCTATGCCTCAGTTGGTAGCTCTCCTGCCTCTTGGTGGATTCAACTCCCCCTCCCAGTCTTGAGTACAAAAGTCCAAACTGACAAATATGAGAATTAGGTGCAAGAGTAGGCCATTCAGCCCCTTGAGCTTGCTCGGCTGTTCATTTTCCTCCCTGTCCCCATAATCCTTGACCCACCCCATGTGAATCAGCTAACTCAGCCTTGAATTGACTCAATGAGCCAGCATCCACCGTTTACTGCGACAGAGAATTCCAAAGGCCGGCGACTCCCTGAGCGGAGAAATTCCTCCACATCTCCAAGGAGACCCCTCACCCTAGATTCCCCCACAGTGGGAAAACAAATCAGACTAGCATCTTCCCTGTCAAGCTGCCTCAGAATTATGAATGTTTCAATAAGATCATTTCTCATTTTTAGAAACTCCAATGAGCGCAGGACTAACCTACTCAATCTTTGTTGATAAGGTCATCCCAGGAATCAGCTGTGAAATTTCCCTGAACTGCTTCTGATGCAAGAATATTCTACCTTAAGTAAGGTGTCCAAAACTGTACACAATATTCCAGGCATGGTCCTCAAGTAAACCTTTTACATTTGCAGCAAGACTTCCTGACTTATATTCCCCATCCTCTTGCAATGAAGGCCGACATTCTGTATAACGCACTAGTTACTTGCTGGCTTGCAGTGATTTACCCACAAGATCCCTGATTCAGACAGTGCATGACTGAAGCAATGCTACAGGGTCAGCAGTACTGCCCTTCAGGTAAGACATTCAAATTGAGGACCGACCTTCCCTCCAAGGTGTGGCAGTATTCTGAAGAAGAGTCAGGGAATTATGTCTGGTCAATATTTATCCTCAATCAATATCATGGAGAGAAGAAGCAAATTGACTGGTCATCATTTCATTGCTGTTGGTGGGAGCTTTCAAATTGACTGTTGCAGAGCCTATATGACAATGCACTCTTAAAAATTACCTTGTTGGCATAAATTATATTGAAGTCTGTGACCATGACAAGCTTAATATAAAATCAAGCCTTTCATTCCCCTCTCCTATCTATCTTTCCTAACCATATACGCTATGTTAACAGTTGTTTAAAATTCTTTAAATAGAAATCTATAACAGATATAATTTTATAAATATGCCTTATGGTAAGTTTTGTGTGGGTATAAAGTGATTCTTATATATTTTTTTTCTGCATTGTACAATCTTTATACGTATAATATGCACAGTTTGACTGCTTCCGAAAACAACAGCAACTTTTATAGTTAACCTTTAACATTACAAAACATCCCAAGATGTTCACAAGAGCATTTATCAAGCAAAATATGACAGTGGGATGGGTAAGGCGACGTTAGGTCAGATGACCAAGAGCTTCATGAAAGACAGTTAGGTTATAAGGAGCATCTTATAGGGTGAAAGTGAGGTAGAGAAGGAGAGAAAGATAGGAAGGGAATTCCAGACCTTTGGACCCAAGCATCTGAAGCTGCAGCCATCAAAAGTGCAGTGATTATAGGGAAAGCAAAGAGGCCAGATTTAAAAGAATGCAGGTATCTCGGAGGGTGTGTGAGTGGAGGAGATTGCAGAGATACAGAGGGATGAGGTCATGGAAAACACGATGAGAATTTAAATTCAGGCCATTGCTTGAATGCTTGAGGACCCAGTGTTGAAATCAGTGAGCTGGGAGGCAAACAGGTTATGACTGCAAGTTATGACTGGAGCCAGCAGAATTTTGGATTAATTCGATGTCACGGTCATCGGAAGGTGGGAGACAAGACATTGAAATAGTTGAGTTAAAAGGAAACAAAGGAACGGATGAAGGTTTCAGGAGCAGATGCACTGTGACTGAAGTGCATGCAAATTTTTTAAAAATTCACTCACAGGTGTAGGCATCTCTGGCTAGGCTAGCATTTATTGCCTATCCTTAATTGCCCAGAGGGTAGCTAAGAGTCAATTATATTGCTGTGGCTCTGGAGTCACATGTAGTCCAGACCAGGTAAGGATGGCAGTTTCCTTCCCTAAAGGCCTTTAGCAAATCATTATTTTTCCAACAATTAACAAGGGTTTCATGGTCATCCTTAACACATTAATTCCAGATTCTTTAATGAATTCAAATTCCATCTGCCATGGTAGGACTTGAACCCGAGTCCCCAGAACATTAGTTGAGCTTCAGAATTAATAGTCTAGCGGTAATACCACTAAGCCATTGCCTCCCAATGTTTTGTGTGATTAAGAAATGTCTTTGGTTTGTTTGTTGGATCGAGTCAAATGCCAATGTTTGTTCATTTTCTTCATTTCTTCTAACTACTTTAGTGACTATGCATGTTTTTTTTGTGTGAATAAAGCATATATTTTGAAAATAAAAAAAATGGCAGGAGTGTTGTCAGGTGATTTTCACGGAGCAAAGCTCACCTCCAGATCAAATCTGACACCAATATTGTGAACAGACTGGCTTTAGTTACGCCAGTAACAAAAACAAAGTTGCTGGAAAAGCTCAGCAGGTCTGGCAGCATCTGTGAAGGAGAAAAGAGAGTTAACGTTTCGGTTCCGGTGACCCTTCCTCAGAACACAGTTTCACCAGTGCCTGGGAATTTTGTGGGGCAAAACGCTTTAAGGCTGTAAATGGAAGAATCCCATCAACTGGGCAGAAGCCTCTCCCAGCAAGGCTTAAAACATCAAAACTCATAAACTTGCTGCACCAGCAATGAAATATTGAGAACCGAATTGGCTCACTTACCGTCTTTCTCCTTAACCTGAGAGTTAATCTTTGACTCACTCAGAACGCGTGAAAATGAGGCAGAGAAATAAGAAGCCACCTCCTCTGGCAGGTCAAAGGAATATTTGTCTGAAACAAGAGAGTGAGGGAGAGAGAGTCACCAAATAGCGTTGAGAGAACGAGAGGGACAGGACAACAATTTACATAAAAGTGAAATACTGCAGAAACTGGAGGTCTCAAACAAACACATAGAATGCTGGAGAACCTCAGCACGTCTGACAGCATCTGTGGAGAGAGAAACAGAGTTAAAATTCGGAGTCTGGTATACTTACATAGCACCGTTAACATAAAGAATAAAGCAAAGGTGCTTCACAGGAGCATTCACCAGAGTAAAGAATGAGGCCGAGTTGATAAGGAAATGTGAGATCTGGTGAGCAAAACGCTTACTAAAAGAGATTGGTTTTGGGGAGAATCTTGAAAGATGATGGAAAAGAATAGGGGAAGGCAATTCCCAAGGTGAAGGCCTAAGGCAGCATAAGGCATAGGATCTGACGTTGGAAAAATTAAAATTGTGGATGTTAAAGAAGAGCACAGATATCTCGCTGGGTTGTGGGGGTCTGGAGGAGGTTACAGAAATGGAGCAGGGAGTGAGGCCACAGAGTGATTTGAAAACTCTGGTCAGGATTTTAAGGTCAAGATATTGCTTGACTGGGAACAACATAGGTCAGCACAAAGAGAGCGAGAAGCACTCGGTATTTGTAACCACATGGGCAGAAAGAGTTTTAGATGTCCTTAAAATTTATCAAAGGTGAAATATAGGAAGCAACCCAGGAAAGTGTCAGCATAGCTAAGTCTAAATGTTAAGAAGGCATGATCATGCGTTGTTGGTATCTTCACTTCACTTGCCTGCCTAGATATCTTTAGACAGCAAGTAAAAACTATTATAGTCTATTCTTGAAGGCTCCAGTTAGCCCTCAGTATCCACAGCCTTTCCGGAGAGCAAATTACAAATATCCACAATCCTTTGTGCAAAGAAATGCCTCTTGATGTCACTGACGTTTGCCATACCTCATTCCCAATTCCTCTACCAAAGCAAATAGCTCCCCAGTGTCCATTCAATCAAATCGCTTTTAATGTCTCAAGACCCCCAGTCAGACCATCCCTCAATTGCTTCAGCCAGAGGGCAGTGAATTCGTGGAACGAATTGCCACAGAAGGTTGTGGAGGCCAAGTCATTGAGAGTATTGAAGACAGAGTTCTTGATTCGTAAGGGAGTCAAGAGTTACAGGGAGAAGGCTTGAGTATGAGGTTGAGAAAAATATCAGCCATGATCGAATGATGGAGCAGACTCGATGGGCCTAACGGCCTAATTCTGCACCCATACCTTATGGTCTTCAAAATTCAAAGGAGTACAAGCTGAAGCTATGGGACCCAGCCCTCATAATTTAAGCTTTTCTGCCAAGCTGAGGTAAGGTGTGGTATTAGGCCAGATCGTTTTTAATTATCAGTGCTCCTCGTTATTTTGGTACTGTCTTACCAGCTTGCACCTAATTAATTTTCAAACCTTAAAATCCTCTAAAATTAGAAGATTGTCACAGATCTTTGGAAAATTATCACATTTTGTGAAACAAACAAGGGCAGGACTTACACAATTAAAAGTAGGGCCTTGGGTAGTGTTGTAGAACAGAGAGACCTGTGGGTTCAGGTACAGAATTCATTGAGGTTTGTGTCACATATAGAAAGGGTGGTTAAAAAGGCATGCTTGCTTTCATTGCTCAGACCTTTGCATAATAATTGGGACATTATGTTGAGGTTGTATAAGATGTTGATGAGGTTTCTTCTGGAGTACTATGACCAACTCTGGTCGCCATGTTACAAGACGTTCACCAGGATGTTGCCAGGAATGGAGGGTTTGAGTTATAAAGAGAGGCTGGATAGGCTGGGAATTTTTCACTGGAGTATTGGAGGTTGAGGGGTGACTTTATAGAGGTTTATAAAATCATGACAGGTATAGATATGGTGAATGGCAGGTGTCTTTTCCCTACGGGGTGGGGATTTCAAGACTAAGGGACATATTTTTAAGGTGAGAGGAGAAAGATTTTAAAAAGTCATAAAGTGCATTTTTTTTTACAGAGAGTAGTTCATGTATGGAATGAACTTCCAGAAGAAGTGGTAGATGTGGGTACAGTTACAACATTCAAAAGAAATTTAAGTAAGTATATAAATAAGAAATGTTTGTAGGGATATGAGCCAAGTGCAGGCAGGTGCGGATAGATTAATTTGGGATTATGGTTGGCATGGACTGTTAGGACCAAAGGGTCTATTTCTGTGCTGTATGACTCCATGACTCTATTCTTCCAGAGGAGGAGAGTGTCACTGGCAATGCGAGCATTTGTTGGTAAACTCAAATTGCCTTTGAACTGAGTGGCTGGCTGGGGCCATTTTAGAGGACTGTAAAAGATCAGCTGCATTACTGTGGGTCTGGATTCCAAGTAGGCCAGACCAGGTCTAGACAGCGGATTTCCCTTCCTAAAGGGAATGACTGAACCAGACTGTTTTTAAGACTGGAGTGTTGGAAGCTGAGGGTGACCTTATAGAAATTTATAAAATCTTGAGGGGCATGGATAGAGTGAATAGCCAAGATCTTTGCCCCAGGGTACGGGAGTCCAAAACTAGAGGGCATAGGTTTAAGGTGAGAGGGGAGAGATTTAAAAGGGAAGCAAGGGGCAACATTTTCATGCAGAGGGTGGTGCGCGTATGGAACGGACTGCCAGAGGAAGTGGTGGAGGCTGGTAAAATTACAACATTTAAAAGGCATCTGGATGGATACATTAATAGGAAGAGTTTAGAGGGATATGGGCCAAATGCCGGCAATGTGATGAGATTAATTTAGCAAATAAAAACCAAAAGAACTGCGGATGCTGTAAATCAGGAACAAAAAGTTGCTGGAAAAGCTCAGCAGGTCTGGCAGCATCTGTGGAGGAGAAAATAGAGTTAACGTTTCGGGTCCGGTGACCCTTCCTCAGATTAATTTAGTACATCTGGTCGTCATAGACAAGTTGGACCAAAGGGTTTGTTTCCGTGTTGTAGACCTCTATGACAATTTCAAGTCGCCTTTACTCAGAACAGCCTTCAATCACATGTGCCTACTGATTAAATTTTATCTTACTCCCGAGAGACTACGCGCAGGTTTTGAACTCAGAGGGTCAGTCTGGGTCATCTAGATTACTGGCCCACTGACACTAAAGTGGGCCCACTGACACTAAAGTGCACCAGCGTCTCCTCAAAAGTGAGCGCAAGAGGTTTCAGTCTCATGCCCCCTCATTCCTTACTGTCATGCAGATGGCAATAAAGCTAATTCAATTCAGGTTTCAGGTTTAATGATCTGGGTGCTCCCGGGAATCCATCTCAAACTTTACCCTACTCCTCCCGAACAGCTGAGGCCGCAGACATACTGAGGGCAATTTTAGTGGAGCTTTCGGCGTGCCTGAGGGGTTTTATACAGCTGTGTGCCAACCACTGAGAGCAGTAAGGGGCAGTAAGGATAACATTCAGTCCATGTGACCTGATTCTATTAAAGTTGATCCCAATGTGCACGCATTCCTTTACTGTGTTCCCACCTTGAGCGCTCAAGACAACATTTAATCAGACAGTTGGTCACAAGAATCAATTAAATCTGGGTGCTTATTTTCCAAATTTTTATAGTCCTATTTAAATGGGCGGTTGCTTTTATTTTGGGTGATGTTTCTGCCGTTTCCATTCACTCACGTTGACACACAGGCTCCGATCCACTCCATTCGCCAGTCTCCAGGCAGATCCTCTCATTTGAGCCAATCAGAACAAGATCGTTGAGGCACAGGTATTTGACCTTGTCGTCGAAGCCGTAGTTAGTGCCGGATTTCATGCTTCCTGCCGGAATGCCAGGATTAGGACAGGAATCCACTGCGAACAGAAAACGGGGATATGCAATCAAATATACACCGCAGAGCTGCAATAGAAATCAGACAGCTCCAATAATGATCAGTGAGCTTTCGGATGATACGGGAATTGACGTGATGGCAAATTGTGACAAGATTAGCCTGAGATCACAGGATCCAAGAGCTGGTCAGATGGGCTGATCAGTGGCAAGTGGAATTCAGTTCACATAAGCGTGAGGTGATGTACCCTTGGGCAGGACAAACAAGAGAAGGAAATACATGATGAATGACAGGACCCTGGGAAGCACCAAGAATCAGAGGGACCTTGGCATGCATGTCCGCCAATCTGTTAAGGTAACAGGACAGCTGGAAAAGTGGTTAGGAAGAGTAATGGTTATCTCGTCTTTACTAGCTGGAGCACAGAGTTTAAGAACAGCAAGATGATGCTGGAACTGAATAAACAGCTGGAGTATTGTGTGCAGTTCTGGAATCAAAATTATAGGAAGGATGTGACTGCACTGGAAAGGGTGCAGAGGAGATTTATCAGAATGTTGCCTGAGTTCAACTACTTTAGTTACAAAGAGAGATTGGACAGACTGGAGTTGCTTTCCTTGAAGCAGAGGAGACTGAGCGGTGGTGTGTGCGAGGGGGTGGGGTGGTGAGTGGGGGGGGGTGGTGGGGGGAGGAGAGGGTTCATGATTGAGATGTATAAAATTATGAGGGGCATAGGCAGGGTAGACCAGAAGGAATATTTCCCCTGGGTGGAGGGTTCAAGGATCAGGGGCATAGATTTAAGGTTTGGGGCAGGAGGTATAAAGGAGATGTGATGAAATATGTGTGCACCTAGGGGGTGATGAGACTCTAGAACTCACTGCCTGTAAGGATTGTAGAGGTGGAAACCCTCATAATATTGAAGAAGTATTTAGATATATGCTTACGATGCCAAAGCGTACATTTTGGGGATTGGAGACGTTCATGTGCAGTGATCTCCCTGGCAACATCTGTGTCTCACAACACCACCACCACGCCCCCACACCCCCCCCACCACAACCACCACCACCACCACCACCAAAGTTTACAGGAAAATTCAGTCTGTGAATTTGGCCTCAGCGTTCAGGGCTTACATCCATCCTGGCACACGGCTGTGGTCCCATTCCATCTTCCATTGATCATGCAGGTTCTACTCTTCAAGCCCCACAGGCTGTATCCATCGTCGCACTCAAAGCTGACAGTGTCACCCACGGCATATAACATGCTGCTCGGAAAGAATGTTCCTTGTTCAATTGAAGGCATCGGGCACTTGAATGCTGAAAGGAGAATGGTGTGTGAAAAGGACCCACGTGGAGCGTGGTGCTCAGGAGCAGGCCACTTGACTGGACAAGTTCCACATCAACCTCTGCCCACTCACTTTACCCATTTCCAAACCTCCCCTTAAATAAGGCCCTTAAATAATACCCCACCTTCACCGCGCCACTCAGCTACAAGTCTCACTGCTCACTGTGCAATGAAGCTTTCTTCGATCATTTAGAGACCAAGTCAAACCAGTGACCATTTAGGAACAATGATCTACTTTCAATGACGGATGATGTGCAACTTGTGCCATGCATTTCCAGGCCTTGATGATGATTATTACCAGTTTGGAAAGCACTGTTTTATGAGCTTTTGTGAATCGCTGCAGTTTGTGAGGTAGGAATATGGGTCAAAAACAACTTTGTTAAGCTTAAGTAAGAGTTATTATAAAAAGGAATGAAAGGTAACTTTATTGAAACATTTAAGATCCTCAGGGGACTTGACAGAGTAGATGCGGAAAGATCGATTTCCCTTGTGGGAGAATCTAGGACCAGAGGGAATAATCTCAGAATAGGGGTCACACACGTAAGACAGAGATGAGGAGGAATTACTTCTCACCGAGGCTACTGAATCCGTGAAATTCTTTGGAGAGTTGTTGAGGATGGATCATCAAGTACATTCAAGGCTGAGATCAACAGATTTTTAATCAGTCAGAGAGTCAAGGGTTATAGGGAAAAGGCAGGAAAATGGAGTTGAAATTGTCAGATCAGCCATGATCTCATTAAACGGCAGTGCAGACTTGATGCACTGAATGGTCTGCTTCTGTTCCTATGTCAAACCATGCATCTTGTAGATAGTATACACTGCCACCGCTGTATCCCTGCGCTGAAGGAATGGAGTATTTTAGTATAGGTGGATGGGGCACATCAATTTGGTTGTTTTACCTTGGATGGTATCAAGCTTTGAGTGATATTGGAGCTGTACTTATTCTGGCAAGTGGACAGTATTTCATTGCATTCCTAATTTAAGGTTTGAAGATGTTGGACAGGCCCTGGAGGTGACTTACCCACTACAGAACTCAGTCTTTGATCCGCTGTAATAGCTACACTATTTGTATGGTGAGTCCAGTTCAGTTTCTGAGCAATGGTAACCCCCAGGACGTTGCTAGTTGGGGATTCAGGGATATTCATGCCACTGAATGTTAAGGTGGGGAGGTGGTTAAATTCTCTGTTATTGGACATGCTGATTGCCTGGAGCATGCTTGGCAAAAATGTTACTTGCTGCTTATCAGTCCAAGCCTGACTGCCATCCAGGTCCATATGGACACAACCTGCTTCAGTGTCTGAGGAGTCATGAATGATATTGAAGATTGTGCAGTCATCATCAAATGCTCCTACTTCTGATTTTAGACCGAGGGAAGAAGCTTCACAAACAGTTGAAGCTGGTTAGGTCTAGCCTGAGGAAATTCTACAGAGACTTGGAGCTGAGATGACCGACCTCCAACATCAGTAATCTTCCTTTGTGCCAAGTATGACTCCCACCAGTGGAGAGATACCCCAATAATATTGGCTTCAATTTGCTAAGGCTTAATGATACCCAACTCAGTCAAATGTTGCCTCGATGTCAAATGCAGCCACCATCCCCTCAACTCATTTAACAGTAGAAAACAAATATTCTATATTTTCTATAACATCCTGGGAATGACAGAAGAAAAATAATGATTTGCACCTCTGCATTCTGCCTTCGAAATGATCTGTCCATGGTCATTTCTCATTAAACTCCATCGCCCATTTCTTCTGCAGATTCGGCTTATTACTGGATAAGGATAAAGCCCGAAGGGACAAATGTGCCTTAAGATGCTCCCAACTTCCCCACCTTTGGACAGTGTGATCGTCCCATCTCTGATTGTAATGTTGGGATTACATGTGATGCCATCATTTTCATTTTCACCTTATAATCAAAGGGTAGAAATCAGACAGTACATGATATGACCTCAGAATTCACATCCATTAATTCTCAATATCCAGAGAATCTGACTTCTGAAAAAAAAAACATTTTTTGACTTGTTCTCATCAGGGCATTTTGCAAGAATACAAAATTCAAGGAAAAACCAACAGTTATATTGCATGAGGAGAGTGTGCTGATTGGTTGACAAGTGTACTGTGACTGGTGGAGGTATCATCATGGATTGTACACCAGTTAATGATAACTGACAGTTATCAGCCAGATTTTGTAACCAGACAGGTTGAATCTGATTGGTCCAGCTATTTTCCTGAAGGAAAAACCAGCGAATGGACATCATCTGTTTTGTAGAGTTGAAAGAGGCATAGTGCATGTACATGCTCTTTCTGACATGAAATGCAAATATGCAAGGTCACATGCAGATACAACCACACACGTGCACACAGACGCATACACACACAGGAGTGCTCATACACGCACACCGATAGGACCACTCACACAACAGCACGCTCACACACCTACACTCATAGACACACATCTCACCTCCCAATATGTGCCTATACACAAACCTCCGCACATAAACACAGGGCTCACATACACCCTCTCACAGCAACACAGGACTGAGGGCTGTCATGATGGAGCATGTGAGTGAACACGGACTGATTCTAGGAGTGAGGATGGTGCGTGTTCACTGAGGAATCTATTGTGAGTGAATGTGGAGACTGCCTATGCCGTGTGGAGATGATCTACAAAGTGCTATGGATGAAGTGAGGACAGAGAAGGTGCGTGGAAGGTGGGAGGATGGCAAATGTTTATTGAGGGATATAGATAGTGTAAGGGTGCAAAATGTTTACTGGTGGATGTAGAGGGTGCTCAATTGAAAGGTGTTTACCAAGTGATATGGAGGGAAGGAGTGAGGATGGAGGGTTTGTGGGATGAGGATTATTGAGGGAAGGAGGGGGTGAATATGTACAAAGGAGTTTGGAAAAAGTGAGGATGGAAAGTCTTTACTGAGAGATCAGGAGTGAATAATGGCAGTGCGTCTACATGAAGGGAGTGAGTCTGGATGGAGTTTTGGGCAGGAGGTATACTCTGTTGATTTATTATGAGGAGAGGAACTAGAGAAGGTGTGAAAAAAAGCTCTGACTAAAAGAATATTGGGAATTTTTGAACAGGCTGGAGCTCTCATTCTGGAAGGGAGAAGGCTGAATGGTGATCTAAAGGTCTTTAAAGTTAAGAAGGATTTCAATAGTGGAGATGCAGAGAGGACTTTCCCACTAGTAGTTGACTGACCAGAGTTCAGAGCCACCAATATTCACAAATAAATCCAAATCAGGAATTCAGGAGAAATCTCTTCATCCAGAGAATGACAAAAAGGTGGAACTGTCTCCAACAGGGAGATGTACGTTAACTTTCTTTTATTCACTCACAGATGTGGACATCTCTGGCCAAATCAGCATTTATTGCCCATCCCTAATTGCCCAGAGGGCAGTTAAGAATCAACCACATTGCTATGCGTCTGGAGTCACATGTAGGCCAGACCAGGTAAGGATGGCAGTTTCCTTCCCTAAAGAACATTAGTGAACCAGAATCAACAATGGTTTCATGGTCATCATTACACCTTTAATTCCAGATTCTTTATTGAATTCAAACTCCACCATCTGCCGTGGTCCAGGTCCCCAGATCATAAGTTGAATTTTTGGATTAATAGTCCAGGTCCCCAGATCATGAGTTGAGTTTTTGGATTAATAGTCCAGCGATAATACCACAAGGCCCTTGCCTCCCCTGCAATTCTAATAGAATTGATAGAAGGGAAAGCTGGATTAAAACACAAAGGGGAGATTAAGGGGGTGTAGTGTTGGGTTAATGACCTGACTCTTTGCTTGAAAAAGTGGGTCATTTGCGTGACAAGAGGAAGTTTTAACAATAGCACAGTAGGCATCTTTCACCCCAGCAAACACACACACAGTCCAGAAACATAACAAACCTATCCAGCAGATTGCAGGATTCCTGCTCACTGCCCCTTGTTGAGCCTGGAATGTTGCTGATAAACAAACATTCACCGTCCCATCGGTTTGAATTGGAGGGTTCACTTACCACTCACAAGAAAGATGAAGAGATTCAAGGCAGCAATCCTGACCAGCCCCATTTCTAACCTCTCCAGTGGGTAGTGCTCCACTCGATGGGACATAGACTGCACTCTTAATGTTGATTAATCAATAACTTCCCAGCAATGGCAGTGTAAACACGGACAGCCTGGTCAATGGGATTATATATTAGTTAACATTCTATTTCACATCACTGCCATCAATCATGTCACCCCAGATATTAATCAGTCTCTTGTTTGGCAAGTTGTTTTGCATTAATCTCCCTGCAAATAAAGCATGTTAAGCAAATAGAGGTTGACATGGTCCAGGCCCTGTACTGCTACCTGATTGTGAACAGCCTGAGAATGCCATAGAGACATGTATCTCTGTCCTGCTGTCTATGCCTTGCTCTATCTGAAGGAAGTCACTCTGTGAGTGCATCAATATCCATCAGTTCTGAATTTCATTGTCTGTTTATGTTGAGTAAAAAGGGCTTCAGTTGTGCCAATGATGCTGGGCACAGGCCTTCCTTTCATCGCCTTGTACCATATTTTTGGTGCAAGTTGGTACAAGTTGGTTCTTCTTTTTGGGTGACGGTCTGACCAATCGGAGTCAAACGGTGTATAGTACGATCTGCCTGTAGAGCACGCAAAACAATAGTTTTCACGTACGTGACAATAATAAATCAATAACTCAATGTGCTTGGTTTAAAATTTAAACAAACTCTAACTGTCATGTATCTTTAACTGGTGCAATCTCCATGGCGATGCCTCTACCAGTCAAATGGGTTTCTCACAAGATACACCTCCACAGAATGCTCCAGTGCGCAATTCTAATTGTGGCTAATCTTTATTAGGGGAGGTAGGGATGGTGCTGTGGAATGGGTTGGGAATGGACAGGGTTATCCATTCTGTCCTGGAAAATTCATTGCAGAGTCCAATTGACCGGGAGGAAGGCAGCCACAGGGGCAAGACTGTGTTGTGCTTCCTCTCCTTGAGACAGACTGATTCCAGCACTTCAACACAAGTTCTGGAATGTCACTCCAGCTGAGGGACTGCTGCACTGTCAGAGCTTCCGTTCTTCAGATGAGCTGTTACTCACCCTCTCGGGTGGATGTTAGAGATCCCAAAGACACTGTTCAGATGAGCAGGCGAGTTGTTCTGAGTTCCCTGAGCAATGTCTGAGGTGGATTTTCTGCTTTGTATTTGGTTTTGCATGCACACATGCACAGTAGGACCAGGGGTAGGCCATTTGGTCCATCAAGCCTGTTCCACCATTCAATGAGATTAGGCTGATCTTATTATGGTCTCAAATTCACTTTCCTGCCTCTGCCACATGGACTTTGACTCCCTTAACAGGCAAGAATCTGCCTATTTATCTCTGTGTTACAAATATTCAATGATCCAATCTCTATTCTCTGGTTCAAGAGAAATCTATAGACCCTTTGAAAGAAAAGCAAGCGTTCTCCTCTTGTCAGACTTCAATAGGAAATCAAGAACAAAAACAGAAGTTGCTGGAAAAGTTCAGCAGGTCTGGCAGCATCCATGAAGAAAAAAATCAGAGTTAACGTTTCGGTTCCGGTGACCCTTCCTCAGAACTGCCCCAGTTGTACGTGGGCAGGGATTGGACAAGGGGAGAGAAGACTGAGTCAAGGTAGGAAGAGATGAGTTCTGTGGGGCAGGAGCAGGCTGAAACAATGGGTCTGCCGGGACAGTCCTGTTTGTGGATTTTTGGAAGGAGGTAGAAACGATCTGTGTGAGGCTGGAGGAAAATTAGCTTTGAAGCTGTGGTGGGGAGTGAGGAGGTCGCCAGATGAAATGAGATCAGTTACCATAGTAGATACAATGGCCTGATGTGTCAGGATGGGGTCATGGTCCAGGGGAAGGTAGGAGGAGGTATCTGAGAGCTGGTGCTGAGCCTCTGCAATGTAGAGGTCAGTACGCCAGAATACAACAGCACCACCCTTATCGGCAAGCTTAATGACAAAGCCAGGGTGAGATCTAAGTGCATGGAGTGCAGTCAGTTTAAGGGAGAAAGGTTGGATATGGTGAGGGGGTCAGAGAAATTGAGGTGACTAATTTCACGTCGACAGTTCTCAATGAACAGATCGAGTGCAGGTAAAAGGCTGGGGGGAGGGGTCCAGTTGAAGGGACAGTGTTGGAACTGGGTGAAGGGGTCTGTAGACAAGGAGAGGACTCTTGTCCAAAGAAATGAGCACGGAGACAAAGATGGCGGAAGAAGAGTTCGACATAATGTCATGCCTGAAATTGGTTGAGGTTGGGATGCAGAGGAATAAAGCTGAGGCCTTTGCTGAGTACGGAGCATTCAGCTTCGGAGATTGGAATGTTAGGGGGGATGGTGAGGAGGTGGGGTTGGGAGAGGGGATGGAGTCAGAGGGAACTGGAGGAGAGGAAGGTTCCAGAAGGCCATGGGTATCTTTGAGTTGTTGCATTTTGTGGGCCTTGACGCCTGAAAGGAAAAGAAAACATTTCTTGTTAGCATGACGAATGGGCCGGAGGATGAAGTGAAACTGCAGAGTGGTGCAGCCATGAGCCTTTGTGTTGCGCTGCTGTTGGAGAGAAAGGTTGAGAGTATGCACGTGATACTGCATGGCAGTGAGTGTGGATCTCAGGATATGGCGAGAGCAGCTGTCTGTGGAATGTTGAACATCACAGAAATATCTGTGATCCTGGGAGGATTCAAAACATGAGGGATGAAACTTCAGTTGGAATCCACGCAGGGTGAGTCTGAGCTGGAGACAGTCACTGAAGAATGCAATATGGCTGTGGAAACGAGTTTTAACAAATACTTGATCAAACACCAGGAGTGACAGTGAAATTAATATCAGTGGACAAGAAGAAAGACTGGAACGGAAATCCAGTTGGAGAGAAGAGCAGAACTTCTCCAAGGTGGGCATGCCTAGAAGAGATGTGGCACTGAGTTAAATATGAAATAAAAACCAAAGAACTGCGGATGCTGTAAATCAGGAACAAAAACAGAAGTTGCTGGAAAAGCTCAGCAAATCTGGCAGCATCTGTGGAGAAAAAGATCAAAGTTAACATTTCAGGTCTAGTGACCCTTCCTCAGAACTGAGATGCTTAGTTTTTCCAGCAACTTCTGTTTTTGTTCCTGATTTACAGCATCTGTGCTTCTTTTGGTTTTCAATAGGAAATCCCTTATTTTTAATCTTATCCCCCTGTTCTAGTCTCCCCCATAAGAGTAAAAATCTTTTCAGCATCCTCCCTGCCAATTACCCTCAGAATCTTTTATCTCAATAAGATCACCTCACATTCTTCTAAATTTAATTACAGGGCCAATCTGTCCAAGCTTTCCTCCTAAAGAAAACCCTTACCCCAAGTATCAGCCAAGTGAATGTTCTCTGAAGTGCTTCGGAAGCAACTATGTCCTTTCTTAAATAAGGAGATCCAAACTGCACTCAGAACTACAGATATGGTCTCAGGAATGTGCTGTAAAACTGGAGCAAACTAATTCTCCTTAAATATTCCATCCGCCTTGCAATAAACATGTACTTCCTACATGGCAGTAGTCACTATGCTCCAGACATCTGTCTAAGGCTGTGCCATATCATTTGTAACCTTGGCAATATAGCTGAGTCCAAGATTAAATTCTGACCCCACTTCCCCTCAATCACATCTTTCCACATCTGGACTGTTGTTTGTTTCTCCTCCTGCCTCACCTCACCCCTAGTCAGAAATGTCACCTCTTTTTGTGTTACATTTGTGCTATTTCAATGCTCACCCCACTGGTCATCCAACCTAACTCCCCCATAATTCTCAGCTCAGCAAAATCCAACAATACAGCAAGTCCCACTCCTCTTTTGTCCCCTGTACCACTGGCCTCCATTGATTGTCTGTCCAGCAAAGCCTTGTTTTAGAAATCCTCATCCTAGTATCTCCTTATCTCTATACATCTCCTCCAACCCCAAAACCCTGCGAGAACATCTTGCTCTTCAACTTCATGTACTTGCCCCATTTTCATCACTCCGCTAATGGTGGCTACACCTTCAGCTGCCTGAGCTCTAAGTGTTGGAATTCCCTCCAACTCACTGCCTCACTTCAATTACATACATTAAAATCCACATCTTTGACCAAACTTATTTCTCAACTGACCTAATTTTCTCCTCATGTCACTCATTGTCTAATTTTATTAGATTATGTTCCTGTGAAGCAGTTCGGGATGTTTTACAATGTTAAAGTTTTGTAGTGTGTTTTTATATCAATTTGAGTGAGATACCCTGACAAGTTCAGTGAAACACAAACCGGTTAGACTGAGGGAATATCGGCTTAAACGTGATTGGAAAGAAAGTCACTTAGAGTCATATTCATAGAGTCTACGATGATGCTGTGGTTTTGGGAGCTTTTTTTTTGTTCTTTTTTGAAGTGAAGTTATAAGGCAGAGGCAACAAGCAGCCTGGGGCAATGTAAACAGCTTATGAGGCCTTGGGGATTTTGTTTAACAGTCTGAATGGGTGTGCCCAGCTCTCTCAGATCCACATTTCTGAGTTTTTGCAGGTAGCATCAGAAGCTATTGGGGTCTCAACAATGAATGTCTACAGGTTGCCACTGTCTGTAAATTATCTCTTAATGTTTTTTCTTCCTGGATGGGAGAAATGCACGTGAGAATCTTTGTCTCAATTTTCCTTTTAGCCAAGTGGTATTTTTAGGTGATGTTACTATATTGGAACAGTTAATTTATAATAGTTACTGTATCTATTATTCTGTTAAGTTTTCCAATAGAGTTAAGTTATTTTAAATTTCTCCTTTTTTTGTTTGTATTTTAACTATAGTGTTTAAATAAATTGTGTTTTTGCTTAACATCGAGTAGTTTGACTAGTTGCATTGCATCTGGAACACAGCACTTCACATTTGCGTTTAAAGTATGAAAAAGTTTGGGTTGAGACTACTTCGGGAAAATATTTTGAGGGGGTCTGGTCTTGTCCATAACAAGTCACACAGTCATACAGCATGGAAACAGACCCTTAGGTCCAACCAGTCCACGCCAACCGTAATCCCAAACCAAACTAGTCCTACCTGCCTATACTTGGCCCACGTCCCTCCATGTCTTGCCCCCATGTCTTTTTTAAATCTTTCTCCTATCGCCCCTGAAAGATATGCCCTCTTTCCCTAAGAGTCCACCCTAGGGAAAAGACACCTGTCATTCATCTCATGATTTTATAAACCCCTATATGGTCACCCCTCAACCTCCTATACTCCAGTGAAAAAAGTCCCAGCCTATCCAGCCTCTCCGCATAAGTCAAACCCTTCAATCCTAGCAATATCCTGGGAAATCTCTTCTGAACCCTGTCCAGCTTAATAATATCCTGCCTGCAACACGGTGACCAGAACTAGACACAGTACTCCAGAAGAGGCCTCGCCAATTTCCTGCACAACTTGCTGAAGGCTTTCCTCTTGCACTATTCAGGACAAATGAAAGAATGTGAAATATCAAACAATCACAGCAATTTATATTTATCTATTTATCTACATCTACAGGAAGTAAGAGTGCTGATTGGTTGACAAGCTGACATGATTGGCTGAGGTGTTGCTGTGGAGAAAACAAAGCAGAATCTCCTGTATATTACAGAAAAGGTTTACAATTTGAACATATTGTTTC